CACACACACACACACACACCACACAAAACCAAAACCCAAACAAAAAACCTCTGTAATCTGGGGCTGAAGTAAATCATCACTGAAGAAGTGACAAGAACAAGAACCAGTTCCTGGAGGAAGTCTGAGGTGGCAGTATTGTTGACCTTGGTGTGGTTAGCTTGCTTTGCAGTTAAATCCTCCAGAAATGAGCCAAGAAGCTCTGAATCTAGTATTGTGGGTCAGTGTCACACTCTGGGCTTTCTATCACACCCTATCTCAGCCCCGGCTGCCACCCAGACAGATCCTGAAAGAACTGACAGCTTGAGAGCATCTTTCCCAAACAGTGCAGCAGGTCCTTTCTTGAAGGAGGACTGTGGTGATAGACCTCCATTTTTGTCAGAAGCTATAACATTTAGCAATGATAATATACTTTCATTATTTCTGTGAACATTATCATTAGTGGTATATGCTTCTTAGCATTTGACATGTATGAAACTTGTAAGTGAAGGTCAGTTGTTTAGCAACCTCATGTATAAGACTGGTTTATTGGTAATAAATTTGCAAAAGTTATGTAAATGCTCATAAAGAGTTCACTGCCTAAGATATTATTACATTTGTAATCATAATTTCAAGTGTCTAAGAAAAGTTAATTAATTGAATATATAAATAAGATTAAATATTTAAGAAATACTTAGTTAAGCTTGTGAATTAGATCAGAGCAAAGTATAAGTGGAAGTGTCCATATTTTATGATTGTGAAATTTAAAAACATCTAATATTCATAAATTAAGCTTAAAGGCCTAGGAAGTAACCATTTCATAATTTAACACATTTTGACTATATTAATAACCAAGCAAATCATGCCAAATTATCAGATTTTTAAATAGTTTATATTTTCTCCTGAGACTTGTACTAGTTCTTTCATAGTCACTTTTGTATATTCACCCATACACATGAATAAAGTAAATAAATAAACTATTTAAAGCTTTTATATTCTTTTAAAACTCTGTACTGGGACACTTGGAGTCATCATCTGCAGATACAGGCATCAGGTTGTTACATTTTATTGGTGTTTTTGTTGTGAGTTTTTAATTTTATGTGTGTGGGTGTATGTATGTTTGCTTGCATGTATGTCCTCTAGAAGTGAAGTTACAGTTGTAGGGGGGTACTGAGAATCAAACCTGGGTGCTCTGTAAGATCAAGCAGGGCTTGTCACCACTGAGCCATATCTCCAGCCCTCTATTAGTGTTTTTATGCTTATCCTCTTCCTTCTGTCATCTTACAAGTCACCTAGACCAGGGTCAAGAAGAACTTTTCAAAACTACATTTATTCAGTGTGTGTGCCTGAATGCCAGAGTGCACTCCTGGGTGCTAGGCTCAGTCCCTAACTACATAAACCAGGTGTGGGGACACATGCCTATAATCCCCCAAGTCAGGAGGAAGCTCTAGCAGGACCATGGCAAGTTGGAGTTCTTGGGCTGTGTATGAGACCCTGACTGAACAAAACCCAGCATCAAAAGTTCATCAGTAGGGACATGGGTGGATTCTATGGCTCAAGTAAGGTCTGTTTTGCTCTCTATCGATAAACCCTCTCTTCATGACAGTATGATAATCTGTGGCATCCCAAAACTTCTGGGGAGAAAGAACGTTTTCTTCCTGTAGCATTAGAAGAAAGGCTTCCAGAAAGAACTTTAGTTTAAGGTCATGTTTGTATGCTAAATAGTTGCTGTGGCCACTTTGGGATACTCTCTGTCTCTGTCTCTGTCTCTGTCTCTGTCTGTGTGTGTGTGTGTGCACGCTTAAAGATTTATTTTTAATCCATTCGTATTCTCTCTCCTCTCCCTCCCTTCTCCCCTTCTTTCTGGGCTGTATGTGTGTGTGGTGGTGGTGGTTTGCACAAGTGCTGGTAGAATCCAGATGAGGCCATCAGAACCTCTGGGGCTGGAGTTTCAGGGCAGTTGTGAGCTGCCTTCACATGAGTACTAGAAACCAAACTTGGATCCTCTGCAAGAACAGCAAGTGTTAACTGTGGAACCATCCCTTAAGCCACTCTTTTGTTTTGAGTGCAGATTTATTCCTAACCAACACCCAAATCCCATGGACTATGTGAGGGCCTATGCCTAAACAGAAGTAATTCTGAAAAGAAAGAAAAGGTGATGTGTGACAAGCTTTCACTGGGGAGATGCAATACACACATTTGTTCACTCCCGATAGGAGTGAGCAGATCACAGCATGCAGACCACCAAAGTCCAATTTGGTGAACCAATGAGTTCTGTTGGTGTTAGGAATGTGGATAAGGGGTTACTTACAGAAGTGGAAATTACTCTTATACAGCTGCATCACCAAAGTCCATCTCAGCATGGGTGATAACTTACAAAACGGGCCTGGCACACACTTCACAGCTCTCAGGCAGTTCAACAGGTTGAATAATGTCCTTTCTAGAGGCTTTAATTGCCTTTTCCAGGCAGCTCAGCTGGTTTCTGTTTCTTCTATGCTGCTCATCTGGCCTGAATCTGTGAGTTTTCTTGGCAACTCAGTTTCTTTCTGTTTGAGGGGGACCCTCAGCTTTTATTTCTTACTCTGGCGGGGGGGGGGTGTGCTAGTGAATCTCAGCAGTTTCAGGGACTTCCTGAAGCTATTTTGAGTTGTTTACCCCAGTCTTCACTGATGGAATGTTTCAGTCTCAGAGGAAATTTACAGAATAGTGGGAAACACTAAATTTACTTTTGCCCCTCACGTCTTATCAGCCAAGAAGCCCTCCATTGTCCATCCTTTTCTTTAGCCCCAATGTCACCATTTTAATTCTAGTCTATCTCCTAGCCAATATTTCAAATATGTTTGTGTATGTGTGTACTATGATGGTTAATATTGACAAGACCTAGTATCATCTAGGAGACAAGCCTCTGGTCATGCTTATGAAATTAGGTTAGATTAGGTTAACTGAGGTGGAAAGACTCAGCCTGAGTTAGGTGGCATCATGCCACGGGATGGTGCCTGACTCCATACAAAGGAAACAAGCTAAAGAGCAGCATTCATCCCTCTCTGCTTCCCGACTAGATACAATGAGTCCAGGTGCCTCAGTTCCTACCACTATCATTTCCCCAGTATGGTAGTTGTCCCCTTGGACTATGAGCCAAAAATAAACCGTTCCTTAAGTTGCTTTGTTCAGATATTTTAAATCACAGTAAAAAAAAAAAAAAAAACAAGTAATTAATGTAGATGTAGATTTTCTATAAAAATAAAGTCATTAAAGTCATTTTCTTACTCCATATCTTTGTTGGGTAATCAACTCCTTTTGGCATGGCAACCAGGATTTTCAGAAATAATAATTTTTTTGTGTTTACATTTTGGGTTTTTCTCATGTAGCTCAAGCTGGTCTTAAACTCAGGATGGAATGATGGTTAGGAAATCCTAATCCTCCTGCCTTTACCTTCCAAGTATGGGGTTACAGATTTGTACCATCATGTCTAACTTCTCAAAAATTATTTTTAATATTGTTTAAGTTTACAGCAGCAGGGGCGGTAGGAAGTGAGATGAGTATGGACAGGAATGTCTGGAACCCTTCCCTTCAGCTAGCGGTCACTCGTGGTATACATAACTGTGAACTTTCTGGTCAAGATGTTATCCTACCTATCATTGCCCTGGCCCCTGTCTGTCTTGCAAGATGGTCTGACAAGTTCACAGAACTATGTGAAATCTCTTCCTGGGAACCAAGTTCTTTAGATTGGCACCAGGCTTCAGTCCTCTTACCATCTCTCCTTGGAGAGCATCATTTCAATAGTCTGATAGCCACAAGTGTCTTTCTTCATCCCTGCCAGGATGGTTACATCAGGCCTGGAGCAAGATGGGTGTGTACACTAGTCTGATTAATATTTTGGCATCTTAGTGTTGATTACATCATAGATTGAAGGATTTAATTAATAGCAGGTCTTGCTGTTTGAAGGTAGAAATATGGATATTACATTTGCCAGAAGACCTTACAAGTTGGATTATCACCTAGTTTCTGTGAAACAGGTGTGCCTGAGGACTGTATGAAAGTTGAACATGAGTGTTCAAGTGGAAACTGCACTCTTGCCACATTTGTGGCTTCCACTAGGAAATAATGTTTTTATTTGTTTTTTTCTGAGACAGTTGGGCTAGTTCTATAGTGGGGCTCTGGAAGCTGTCTCTGAAAGTCCAGCCTCAACCTTGTTCCAGCTCTTTTGGTACTTTTTTAAAGCCCTAATTCCTCCTTGTAAATCCCTTTATGTTTAACTAAGTAGAGTGAAATTCTGATACTTCTTTCAAAAAAATTTTAATTACATGTTTCAAACATATTTCATGAGGACAGCAAAAAACTAATTTTCCATCAGTTAAATTTTACACATCCCTAAGCAGCGTATTTTGAAACATTTTGACATGCATTTCACCCTTTTTTGTAGTGGCCCCCCCTTTTTTTGCAATTTTTTCTGAACTGCACACGTTTTTGAAACATAATACCTAACAGGTTTAAAATAGGTCACTGATTCCTCAACAGCTTGAGCCATGAATAATTCTATAGTTTTAGTTTTTCCTGATGAATTTCATCAAATACCTTCTGCCATAAAGAGGCAAGACACAATCGCATTTGACAGATGGTTAAGTTACATCTTTTATTGCAGTGCCCCAAACCTGACAGACCAATTTTAAGGAGGAACAATTTATTTGACTCCTGACTTAAGAGGATATAATCCGAGAGCTGGAAATCATGGATGCTCTGCACATGGCAGTGGAACCTGTGGTGCAGTGTGTCATGTCTTGGAGGATTAGGAAGCAGAGCTCTTGGCCCAAAAAGAGGGCCAGACCACAATCCTCAAGGCCCAACTCCTAGACACCCACTTCTGCTAGTTGGACCCTACCTCCTAAAGATTCCACAGCTTCCCAAAACAGTGCCACCATATAGGGACCAAGTGTTCAAGTGTATGGGACATCTCGTATGCAAACCATAACATGCTGGCCTGGCTTCCATAGACTCTTGGCTATCTCCTAACACAAAATGAAATCCACCTTCCGAAGTCCCCATAGCCTTAACAGTTCCAACACTTAAAAAAATCTGAAGCCTTTTCTGGGACTCACGGTAATCTCTTAACTGTAAGCTCCTGCAAAAATAAAAAGGAAACTACACACTCACAGTGATTGCACAGAGTAAACATTCCCATCCAACAGGGAGGAACAGGAGAAGAGCAAGGGAAGACCAGACCAAAGCAAGTGCACAAAACAGCAGGGCAAATAAGCCCTGCAGCTCCCTGTCTGACACCTGGAACTTGAGGCTTTGACACCCTCTGAACTCCAGGAGGCTTAGGCAGACCCATGCCTCCTGGCTTACTCCCTGCTGCTCATGTGTGTTCTCTCTTGGGCTGGCTCTACTTGGTGCTTGCAGCTTTTCTTCACCGACATCCCACGTTCCTGTAGTCTTTATTGCAGTACAGGCTTCATTTTCAAAGCGTCACATATTGCTCTGGAGCCTCTTTTTGGGCAATCTGAACCTGTCACACCTTTTTTTGGCCACTGTTTTTTTTGGGGGGGAGTTTGGTATAGATCTCCACGATGCTGCGATTCTTGCATTACCTATGCCTGGAAAGCTGGCGTCACTTGTATGATGCCAAGCTACACTACCAGCTTGAGGTGTAGCCTGGCTCCACTGAACCACGGCTGCAGCTGTGCTGAATGCACTCGGCTTTTAAAAATGAAAGCCTTTCATATTTACATGGATGTTATACCCTGGAGCCTGCGATAACCGGAGTCTCTCTCTCAAAGCACCTTCCTTAATGTCTCACTGCAGTCTGAGGTTTCTCCTTCATGGTACCAATCTTTCTTCCCTCCCTCCCCCCTCCCTCCTTCCCTTCCTCCCTCCCCTCCTCCCTCCTCCCCCCCCTCCCCCCCTCCCTCCTTTCCTCCCCCTCTCCTTCGTTCCCTCCCTCCCTCTCTCCTCCCCTCCCTCCCTCCTTTCTTTCTTTCTTTCTTTCTTTCTTTCTTTCTTTCTTTCTTTCGTTTTGTTTATTTTTTGAGATAGGGTTTTTCTGTGTAACCAAGTCCTGGCTGTCCTGAACTTGCTTTGTAGACCAGGCTGGCCTTGGCTTCACAGAGATCCGAGTTCTGTTAAGACATATGCCACCACTCCCGGTGGTACCAATCTTTTTATGGCTACTTTACATCCATCTGCCTTATCTGCCTTGTTGGTAATTTTGAATATAGATGACTTCCTTTCCTTGACAAAATGTACATTAAAAAAAATCTTTCTGCCCTACTTTGTGCTCTCTATTCTCAGTAACCTGCTAAAAGTGGTTAGCAGTTTGCATGTTACAATCTGAAAGCAATGCTAGCTAGAAATTTCCTCCACTGAACAAGGCAGCCCACTACTTTTGAATTCAGCCTTGCTCGAGTTTTCAGGACGTAGCCAGATGCTTTTCCAGAATGTAATGCCAACAGATTCAGATCTAGTTCCTGATAAAGCTAGTCATGTCTGAAACTCCACAGGCTAGGTCTCCCTGGTCTGTTTCTGCTGTCGTCAGGATCTTTCTAGCTCCTCTCAGCCAGCGCAGCCTGCTGCACTCTGGGACTTCTCTAGCTCAGGGCTCCGAATCCTCCACATCCCTTTGCAAGCTGGTTTTGAAGCTTACAAGCTGTACAGGTTTCTCAGTGCAGCAGCACATTCTTGGTATCCATTTTCTATCTTAATTGACAAGTTTAAGGGAGGAAGAATTTATTTTGGCTCATACTTTAAAGGCATACAGTGCACTATGGCAGGGAAGGCATGGCGGCTAAGACTCTCTCCACAGCTCCTTCAGGAGCTTTTTCTATATCTCAGTGGATCATGAAGCAGCGAGGGCTATCTGTCCAGAGGGGGGCCAGCCTACAGCCCGCAAGGCCCATCCTTTAGCAATCCACTTCCACTAGCTAGGCCCCCTAAAAGACCCACAGTCTCCTCCAAACAGAACCACCATCTGGGGCTCAAGTAGGTGATCAGACATGTGAGCCTGTGTGATACCATTGTACCTTCATACTAACTGACTGCAAAACTAGGGGAGGGCATTAAGGTATAGTTAGCATAGGTCCTGGAGGAAGACCGCAGCCAAATATCAGCACCATATGCTCCCAATGTTTGGTACCTGAATCTCCTCATCCGGAAAAAGGGTTTAATCACACATATAATGGCTGGGTTTAAAATTAACAATGCACGTAAAGCTCTTGGCACAGGGGCCTGGTATGTAAAAAGCATACAGTAAATGTTCAGTTAGTATTTTTTATTTCTACTTGCCTGGATTGTATTTCAAGGGGGCAGGTATATATTCATATCCCTGCGTGATGGTTTAGTTCTTACTCTTACTCCTCTAGGGTTTAGAATCATCTAGAAGATATATCCCAGGATGTGTTAACTGACCAGGAGGGAGCAACTTTGGACGTGGGTGGCAGCAGCCTATGGACTGGATGGAGTCCCAGACTGAGTCAAAAGGGGGAAGGAGAAAGCCAGCTGAATCCCAGCATTCACCTCTCTCTTCCTGCCTGCAGGTGCAGTGTGACCAGCTGCCCATACTTGTACCCCATTCCTTCTCTTCTCTCTCCATCCCACAAGCCCTTCTCTTAAGTTGCTTCTGTCATGTATTTGTCACAGCACTGAGAGTTACCTACCAGCATGTAAGAGTTTACCTGTGAGTGCCTGAGTTACCTCTGTAGTGACTTAATATTCTAGTGAGACTTCAGCACTCCTTGTAGGTGAATGATTTGAGCAGCTCCCCAAATGCCCATCTTTTAATCCAGCTCTGGCTTTGGTTTAGCAAGTGGAGTCATGTGAGCAGAAACTGAAGGAAGGGGCATCCTGTGCTGAAAAGGACAATGGCAGATTGTGTGACTGCAGTGAGTGACAGCTCTAGTACAGTGCTCCATAACCTATCACTTTAAACCTGACACACCTAACAAGTGACATAGCTCCTTTTCTAGATGTTGAAGATGAGAACTCAGTCTAGAACAAGACAAAACAAAGTGATTATAGGGCTACGACTGGAGAGCCTTAAACTTAGCAAATCAGACATTTCATATTTTGAAGATGGAGTAGGATATACACTTATATGAAGAGCTCCGTTAATAATTGTTAAGTCTCGGACCATGGAACAAATAGCTGAGGTGCCTATTTAACATATTAAAGTGGACCTAGCTGCCAGGTTCTCCCAGCATCCCCCAGCACCTACCTGTTTCAGGGCATGGCTGGTATACCCTTTCCTCTACCCTGAACTCTCCAGCCCAGGGGCTGGTTTGTTCTTTCCCCAGAGGCTCTTTCCTATATAATCCAGGCATTTTGGTTACCCACTCTTTTATTCTTTGCCCTCTTGGATGATGCACCTGGCTTCCTTCTCTGCTCTTTCCATTCCTCTCCCCTTTCTCCTCATGCGGCTCAGAGTCATGAACACTCTGCACCCTCCCAGATATGTCTGCCTCTGGCTATGCTCTTCCTTTTATCTACAGTAAACTTCCTCTTTCACCATATCTAGGAGCAGTTATGTCCTTTCTTTTTATTTCTTTTTTTTTTCCCATTCAATAATAATGGTACCTAGCACTTCACAGTCTCTCTTATTTGAATCTTGAGACAGCCCATGTATTTAAGCAGGGAAGCATTCTTATTTTACAGATGAGGAACTTCAGATCAGAGAATTGGATGGAGTTACACATGGTTGCACACAGATTTACTGGAAGGGGCAAGCGCTTGATCAGTTTTTTTTTTTTTTAATTCATTTATCTTCACACTTACTTAAGAAAGCTTTCAGAATTAAGGCAATACAACTACAGAGTCCCCTGCTAAGGTTTTGATCTTGGGAAAAATGATATGATCAGAGCTGTCATTTGGGGAAACACCATTTCTTTTGGAGTCTTACAGAAGGTGAAAACAAATCTTATTCTCTTGACTTTCTTGGGAAGGTTGATGTTAAACTTTATAAAGTCATTACTTTAAAAAAGAATCCCAGACATAGGCAGTTTTTAAAGCCAATGTGAGGGTTTGCAAGCCATTTAAACACTCAATTACTTGAGGAGAGACGGAGATGCCAGGGGATGGAGTATTTATAGCGCTGTGCCGAGAGCCAGTGTGTATATTTATTTGTACAAGAGTGGAATTCTGTCTCTGGATCATTTCCTGACTTGTTTGAGAATCTGGGCAAGTCATTTATTATGTCTGTAGATTTTGGAATTATAGCCTACCTCAAAGATACGCTGTGTGAATAAATGAACTTCTGCTGTAAATCTTGCTTGAATTTCTCTGATGAAAGGCATATCAGTGTCAATAGTTGTGAGGGGTAAGAGTGCTGACAATAGGAATATAATAATACAAACACTCAGAATATATGTAGTATCGTTGCTCTGAGAGCTTTCCTGTAGTGAGGATTTTTGGTTTCTTTAGAAATACAGAAATGGGCTGGGCGCAGTGGACACTCAGGGAGGCAGAGGCAGGCAGATCTTCCAGAGTTTGAGGCCTACCTGATCTACAGAGTCCAAGACAGCCAAGGCTATACAGAGAAACCCTGTCTTATGAAACCAAAAACCAAAACAAAAAACAAACAAAAAAAGTAAAACCACAGAAATGTTATGTGAATATGTTTTTGTTTTAATCCCAGGTGTGGGATACAGGGATGCTTCAGCTTGTTCACAGTAGCTGACTATGATTTGCCTCATGCTATAGCAGCGGTGTGACTTTGCCAGCTGAAGAGAGTTTATGTTTGGAATTCTGGGGACTCTTCCGGAGGGCATAAATGCTAGCGACCTGAGAGGACCCATAGCTGCGGCTGCTATTCTCACTGCTGCTGTTGGTGGTGGTGGTGGCGGTTACTGTTTGCTCCTGCTGCTGTTGCTGGTTGGAGAGATCCTGATGACGAAGATCAAACTCACCCAAGGAACTTGATGCTTCTAATCAGCATGAAGAAGTCTAGTGATATTAACGTCCCTTTTCCCCTCTAATCTTCTTTCTCTCTTACCTAGTGTTAGAGGTTTGGAAGGGATAGAGGTGGTGTAGGGAGGTAGGGAAAAGAGTCCAATAAAGTAGCCAAACGTCTGGCTACACTTTCCATGCAGCACGTGTATGTGGATGAGGGAAGGTACATACGCTTTTTCTAATCCTATAATCACAAACATTTTATAAGAAATAGCTACTGTTGTAATTTAAAAATACAGGATTGAGAAAAATGTTCTCATATCATCCCATCCTGTTACATTCCCCTTCACTCATGACAGTCAATAGGAAAAAAAAAAAAATACAAAGGAAAGGAAGCACAACTGCTCCTAGGAATGGAGGAGTTTATTTCGAGGAGAAGGTTTATTGGAGATAATTGGGAGAGCAGAGCCAGAAGCAGGGACCTCTGAGAGAGTCCAGAGTGGACATGACCAGACTGAGCTGTTCCACATGAGGAGAGGAG